CCCCAAAACCCCAAAACCCCATAAGATATTATCTTTTAGAGTAACTAAGTAATAAATTAATTATTAATGATAATAATAATAGAATTATTTTGAAAGGAAATAATGTTGCCGGAGAAAAACTAAAATTATGGTTCCCATCATTTTCAATAATACTCAAACTCCTAAGGGCATCAATAGTAAAGACCCTTTCAATAGCCATAGCCTTCATCTCATCATTATAACATTAGCTAAGAGTAGTTGTAAATTCTAAAAAATAATTATGATGCATTGGTAAGGTACCTTCCATCTCTTGAGAAAGTAGTCAAGTATTTTGAAACTAATTTAAGTGATATCGTGGCAAACTAGAATACCTTATAACCTGAATAGTATCAATCTCAAATCTCGCAAACCTAGGGAAATATTGAAAAAATTAGTTAAATTATAAACATAGCCTAGTTTGGATTGAGTAACTACACCAAGTAAATGAGCATCATGGATGTTGAGAAATTAGTTGCAAAAGCTTTAAGATTCTGTCAGACTGAGCAGATTTAGAGTTTCAATACTAAAGAATGGCAAAAGCATAATATCAAGAGAGAGCCTCATCCGCAATACTAGCAATAGTAGCACTCATAATAAAAAATGGGATATGATCAATAAATTCCTCAGGTGAATAATTCGGCTGCAGCAGTATTAGGAAAGAGAACTCAACAATAGATGGTAATCCAGAATCCATAAGACTATCATCATGACCACAGCTACTCGGCTCCTTCTAAATAGATGAGTTATCAATAATAGCAAGAACTCATGCTAAAGAGGTAGAAACTCTCAGAGTCAAGAGAATAGCACACTTATGTTTCGACTAATACTCAATATAACAAATCATAAGATTCCTATCATTAAAAGCACCCATAAATGATGTACCAAAATATTTCATAGCATACCTAAGTTTCGAGTTAATCTCAACAAGTGCATGGCCAACAATATTATCCTCCTTAACATTAACAATACAATGAAAGAGTTATTGCTCAAATGAATAAAGGAAGTATTCAAGGTTACAAAGAAAGCCATTGGTAAAACTAAGGAATGATGTCTCACCATTACTAGCAAACTCAATAGATGTTAAATCCCTAAGCAGCTCTCATGCAAACTCAGATGATTTAGAGTGCCTATCATATTCCTCAGAGCAATCAAGAAATCAGCAAACTCAAATCTAAACCTCAGTTATCTTTTCATACTCTGCTTGATAGCTTTAAAAAATATAAGGAAAATCTCAGAGATCCTAAAGTAGTAAATCTCTCAGAGATTAGTCAAGGGGATTTTGAAAAGTAAGTCGATTTGAATTCAAGACAGCAAGAGAAAAGAGATAGAGTGGGCGACTTCTTTCTTCAAGTTATAGAAAACACTTCATGCAAATTCATCAGAACTCAAGATGAGAGTTTAATTCAAATATTAAAACCTGCATGTGATATCTATTAAGAGAAAAGAAAAATGCATGAATATAATTAAAGTTTGGAATAGAAGAAAAATGAGGAAGAGGCAGAGGAGAACCCAGAGATTTAGTACATAGATGAGGAGACTAAATAAAGAATTCAAAAGGAATTTCAAGAGAAGGTAAGTCCTTAGTCTATGGTTTGTGATTTTTATTAGATTAAGAAAATGCTCTAAAACATGATTAACCAGAGATTTGAAATCTTAGAGTACATTAAAGATGATATCAACTTCAGAATTAAAGTTTAAAATAGTAATATCATCATCTATTATTATTAAAAATTTTTGTAGAGGAAAGTAGCATTATCACTAAAACGGTGATATTATTTATTGACTGCGATTTGGGTAAAGCTTACATAATCGAAATAGCAAGAATAAATTCCTTGATCGGAAGAGAAGAGCATTCCTCTGGCCTGAAAATTCTATTTGATATAAACCAATTAAGTACGTTATTTGACGAGCAATTCTTCAATAAGTATCTAAATAAATAAGCATAACAGCCGCTTTTACCCGCGCAAAATCAAGTTCTTGCAGCTCCATCTGCATCTTACGATTAGACTAATAGATACTCTTAGCATCATGCGCACTATGAAACCCCTAAGCAACCTCTAATTCCACCATCCTCAACCTAAATGTCACAATATGAGAGATCTCAGTGGATTAACAATGGAAGCAGTTCATAGTAATAGCCAAGTTACCACCCTTCAAATTAAAATCAATATAGCAATTCATAGTAGCATCAATAGTCTTAATACGCTAATTAATAGTAGTAGCAATAATAGCACTACTAGCCAAGGTAGCCTCTCCTCAAAACGCAGCATAAATATATAAAATAAGAGTGAAGCTTTAATTTAATAAGTTTCAATCCCTCACTTAATCTTTAACAAAATTAATCACAAGGGGTTTTGGGGTTTTGGGGTTTTGGGGAGATCGGAA